TAATGCCAAGGAGACAGAAGCCACAGAGCCCTATCTGCCATTCTCCTTCCTGACTCATAAATGCACTCCTAGTGTGAGGCAGAATTGGGAGCATCATCCTATTCTCTTACATCTAACAGTTCTGTAATTGTGGTCCATGGGAAAGACATCTTTGGATAGCCACTTTGAGTCTTCACAGAGAATCCTATGATAAAAGACAACAGCCTACAGGATTAGTAGAAAAGGCAACATTATTTTTGACAAAGGAAACCAGAGTTTAGGTCCTGGCTATGTTTCCGGAGAACGTGGCCTCTCTACATCTATTTGCTGCTCTGTAAATCTGTATAATAACAACATAGTGTCACTCCATTAAACATTTAAATAACATACATATTCCTGTGGTATAGGAATGAATTTACTTGATAAGACTTGCTGTTTTTAGTCAATAAAAGAACAAAGGACGTTCTGGCAGGCAAAGGTGTAATCTACCCCACTGACAAAAAAATTCTTGAGAGTATAAAGAGTGTTTTATCAACTGAAGTGTTAATTAATACATCAAAAGTTTGTTTACTTGAGAAACTAGAGCAGAAGAATATTGTATTATTTATTTATGTTCTTATTTATTCATGAGACACATTCTTTATTATGCCAGTTGCCCAAGGTGAATCCTCATCTGACACTTCTTTGACCTAGTATGACCAAAGGCATTTCCAATGTGTTTACGTGCTCTGTTTATAATCCTTCTTCTTCTATTTCCTCCTGGTCTCTATCTAAAACTAGCAATTATTCACTGAGGCTCAAATTGTGGCAGCCACACTGCTCAACCTTCTGTGGACCTTCTGAGATTTCTTTCCTAACTACTGAATTTTCAGACTGCTTGTGCTGGTCTTTTCGCCACCTTCCCAAACCCATTCCCAAATCTCACTCACCAACAGGGTGTTCTACCTGCTGTGTGCTCAGTGACAGTGTAAATGAGCAACATTTCCTCCAGCATGTGGGGTTCCCCTGGTGGCAGCATTGCTTCCACAAGCTTGCATCCTCAGCAGAGTTCCCATGGACAATTTCAACAATCCCTACCTTACCTACAACTTTTTCCAAATTTAGAGAGTAATGAGAAACTTATGCCTCTTGCCCATTTGTTCTTCAAAGACCAGTTTTCTTCCAAGTATCCCAATTGGAGATACAGCATGCCAATTGTCCTTGTCTATAAGGTGATGAGGCATCTCATCGGTTTGTGTTATCAGTTACCACCATGTCCTAATGAATCATTATTTGCACAAAGAACACAGGACTCGAATAAGCTGTCATATTTATAGTAACAGCTTGTTACAGGAAAAAAATGAATAAAAAGAAAATCAGCAAAGGAGATTTTCACACAGGGCAGAGACATAACAGGCCTGGGCTTCTAGATGTTTTGTACCATTGAAGCTCCCTAGAAATTGCTTGACTTGCAGCAATGATGTGTGACTTTACCTGTGAAATGTTGCCAACCAGGAAACCCACCCAAACATACAGAGCACATAACTGACCTTAGTCCAGGCCCTTCCAGACTCAATTGATATAGCATCGCTCAGCACCTCCGTACAAAATGTGACATTTGCCACAATCACATTTTTAGCATAAATATTGCATGGCACCAGACTCCAGGAATACAAACACATCCCTTTCAAAAAATTTAGTTCAAAGCATTTTCCCACAAACATTTGGAATGTGCAGGACTTGAGCAGCCCAGACCCCCTGAATTAACCCCTTACAACCAATTGTTTTAATAACCAAAACATATATTTGCTAGGAGAATCAAGCTTTCAGTATGTTTATGCTGTGAAGAGATTTTCTTAGGGGCATTGATCAATGTTACTTTACCCAAGCTTTCAAGATATATGTAAGAGCCAGAGGTGGGGAAAGAGGAATGTGAAATAATGTCTCCTGGACATGACTGAGCTATTATTGTACTCATAAGTTCACAGTAATTGTAACTACCTGAACAATACTTGCACAAGGTCAAGCCAGTTGGTCTTCGAACATGAATGAGTTTATGAGCCTCCACCCCTATCTGAGGAACTGTTGACAGTTTATGGATACCGAGATTTGGGGAGCAGTCTGTTTTCTTCAGGAGTGTGGCCCATCATAGGTTGCCTGTGCTCTAATGTATGACCCTACATCCATGATCATATGAACAGCACTAATTGGAATCAGTATGTAATAAAAAAAAAAAGGAACAAACATTGATGTAAAAAATGAAGAAAAGTTTATGAAATTGAGATGGGGAGATGAGAAGGTCTGGATGAATCTGAAGAGGTTAATGGGGTTGGATATGACCAAAATACATTGTATATATTATGAAATTCTCAAAGAATAGATAAACTAATTTTAAATGTTTCACATTGAAGGACTTAACATACATAAAAATGATGCTTGTGGTACTGGCATGTAGTACATGGTCAATGGATTTTAGCCTTAATAAGCTACTGTGATCACTAAATAATTGGACAAGATGAAACCAGAGCATATACCACCAACTTTAAGGATCTAAATGTTGGCTTTCTCACTATCAGTTTATAGACACCATTTAATCTCTTAATTTTCTTTCCATAAAGAAGTAAAGGGATGACAAAGTTCATGGTTTCCCAAGGATTGTGAACATGGCCATTCAGACATGTAATTAGTGCTCAGTAAATGGTCACTGTTACTACTGATTTCATTTTACAAAGTAATCTGTGGTGGTATTGTGTTCCCCAAAATATTGTGCACCCTAATAAACTTATCTGGGGTCAGAGACAGAACAGCCACTAGATACAAAGGCTAGAAAATGGTGGCACTCACGCCTTTAATCCTAGCATTCCAGAGGTAGAAATCCCTCTGGATCTCTGTGAGTTCAAGGCCACACTGGAAACGGCCAGGCATGGTGACACACACCTTTAATCCCAGAAAGTGAGCCTTTAATCCCAGGGAGTGATGGAAAAAACAGAAAGATATATAAGGCGTGGAGACCAAAAACTAGAAACATTTGGCTGGTTAAGCTTTCAGGCTTTTGAGCAGCAGTTCAGCTGAGACCCATTCTAGATGAGGACTCAGAGGCTTCCAGTCTGAGGAAACAGGATCAGCTGAGGAACTGGCGAGGTGAGGTGGCTGTGGCTTGTTCTGCTTCTCTGATCTTCCAGAATTCACCCCAATACCTAGCTTCAGGCTTGATTTTACTAATAAGACTCTTTAAGATTCATGTTACAGTAATCTGCCGTTAACTCACTTTCTCCCAATTAAACCAAACAAGGATAGCAGAATGATGGGGAACATGGGTGCTAGACTGAGGCAAGCAAGGGGCTAAACTCTATCCCTGTAAGTGATTAGCAGAGTAGATCTGTACCAGCTAATTTTCACAAGACTCAGTTTTGTCATCAACAACATGGATTATATAAATCTTGAGTTAATCAAAATAATTTAAGCTTAGCAATTGCCATTGCCACTACCATCAACCTCACTTCTCTGGGTGACGTATATAAGTAAAATAATTTATGCTAAATCTTGGTACTATATAATTCTTACAAAAATGTGTTTTGTTTTAATTTATGAATCAATAGTAATGCATTCTGTAGATGTTTATTCAATTATGTTTCTGTATCATGAATTGTGCTTAGGTACTAAAGGCTGAATTTGAACAGTTTCTGCTTTTAAAAAATTCACATTGCTTTTAATGAAGTGACAAGTATTAGAAATAATTTTACATTCAGTGACAGAGACTGTACAAAATAATAAGGTTCAGAGTAAAAAGCATCTCTTGCTTCAAAAGTGATGAAATGCAAGGTGTAGCATCCATCACTGGTGTAGCATCCATCACTTATGCTCTCTTTTGATGTCCATAAAGACATAGTTAATAGCAAATAGTGGATGAATCCACTAATTGCAGAAAACCACATACAAAATTTTATGCTAGAACCTGGATTCTAGATTTGACTCTGTCAATTTTTCAGCTATATACGCATGTGCTACCATAAATCAATATTTTGCTGGGGTCAGTTTTACATATAATAAGTAGCTTTATCTGTGTGTTCTGCTTACTTTGGAGAATTACCAAGAATTTCAAATGAGCTAATATATTTGAAGTTGCAAAGAAAGCCCTCCAGTAAAATATGAGGGTATTATGAGATTTTTATCCCCAAGACCACGGGGCAGTATATTTGACAAAATGCTATGAGTATTATATAAAATTTAGCAAGTGAGAAGAATTTTATGAGGAAAAGAAAGAAAAGACAACTATTCCAACAGAGAATTAGCTACTTTGATTCTCTTTCATGGTAACTCATAGAGGCAAATGCAAGTTTGTTTTGATTCACAGGCCTATACCTCAGAGGGCCTCCCTGAGCTTGCCATTGAATTTCATTCCATGACTCCAACTCCCCTCATCAAGCCTGGCCAATGAAAGTGACCAACAAGCGGCCCTAATAATTAAATCACCTATTGGCTCTGTTAGCAAAAATTTGTTTTCTCCAAAATACAAAACAAGAAAGAAGGAAGGAAGGAAGGGAGGGAGGGAGGGAGGGAGGGAGGGAGGGAGGGAGGGAGGGAGGGAGGGAGGGAAGGAGGAAGGAAGGAAGGAAGGAAGGAAGGAAGGAAGGAAGGAAGGAAGGAAGGAAGGATGGAGGGAAGGAGGGAGGGAAGGAGGGAAGGAAGGTGCTGAGAGACAAGAACTCATATTGAAATAATGAGTATTAGTAGATTCAATCTCAAGGTAGTTGACTTCAGTGATGAGCTTGACATAGAAGACACTCCAAAAATATTCCTGGAATAAAGTCTTTTGTAGTTGATCTGAGTTTTTATTTTGCTTTGCTTTAAAGAACTCAAAACCAAATGTGGAATTCTAATTTACTCTGGGGTGTAGCTTTCTTTTGTAGAAAAGTAGCTACCAGTGACTGAACACTGTTTGGCTAAAGAACAAAAGGTCTTCAAGATCAAATAGCAATTGCCTGGGTAGAGGGAGGTAATAAAGATGGGACTGATGGCATGGTCCATGTTTTTCTCTACAGACTGAAGCAGCTCTGATGTATGATGCTGTGTACATGGTAGCCATTGCTTCCCACCGTGCCTCACAGCTGACGGTCAGCTCCCTACAGTGCCATCGACACAAGCCATGGCGCCTTGGACCCAGATTTATGAACCTGATCAAAGAGGCAAGTGTACCTTCCTTGTAGCCTATTTGCTTAGCGCCACTTATCATGTCCCTTTGATGTGCTTTTGGTGGCATAGTGATACTAATGAAGGAGCAGTCCCTGTTAACTGGTCTTCTCAGATCTCAATGTCAGAAGTTTGCCTGTAGGAACTACTCTGTGTTTTCACATATGATGCTGCAATGCTCAAGCAAGCTACTAGACCATAATACTACTAACTGTCCTTCATTTCAGCCATGTTGCAGTGACACCTGGCTCTCCACACATAAGAACTTAGGGGTATTGAATCCATAAGGGATGTTAGTGCTCACATTGTGGGTTCTTGGTCTCTGTGGTCTCCCAAGGTTTATGGTTTTTGAGGTTAAGCAAAGGACCTCTTTATATTAGAGTAAATTTTCCCTTTGTTAATGAAAGAGAAAAGCATGGTTCTATTCAAAACTTACTCATTGTCCTATAGATTGTCTAAGAGTAGAAAATATTTAGGAAGGGGCAGTTCTTTACTAATATCCAGGTTTTGAAGACTATACCTACTTTATCTGTTCTCTGGAGCAATTTAAATTCCCTTTCCAAGACCCTCTCAGGATTCTTAAAATGCTTGTGCCTTTGGGTTATCTTTGAGACCAACAGGCACATTTAGATATTTATGGACTTGGCAAATAAGAATCTCGGGAGCAGAAAATCTAAGTATGCTCAGTATCCTGTGACATGCTCTAGAATTTTCTCTGTGGGATGCAGAAGTTTATCTCCCATGAAGCGTATCTTCTTTCCTAGCCATGCTGGAGAAAGTCAGAGACAAACCACTAATTGAGAAGCACATGAGAGGACAGAATACAAATGGAGAAGGCTCGCTATATCCTGAGGAAAGCGACCAGCTGTGGGCTGGATCTCTGCTGATCTCCTCAGAAGCCATAGACCACCTCTCCTGCTGTTCAATCTGCTTCCCCTTGCAGGCTGAGTTCATAAACATAAGGGCCAGCTAGAGAAGGCTTATAAGAAATAAGACTCCAAGCACCAAGGGGAAAAAGCTTGCAGTGCTAGGAGTAAGGCATACACTTTCCGGTGCAAAGCCTGTACTTTTGAAGACTGAAGAAGAGTTCTTGCTTAAATTTTTAGCTTATCTCCCCTATCCTGTCCTCACTGGCTGCTTAGCTATAAACCTCAGCTCTGCTAATGCTTATGAGCAATATAACAAAGATTAGGTACTTAACCTTCCCGTGTCTTGAATTTTCATCTGTGAAATGGGAATAGACCGTCTACCTTCTCAGCGTTATTGTAAAGAAATTGAATGAAGTTACTACGTGTAAAGAATAGTGAAGGGGTTCAGCAGGCATCTGAAATACTGGCTTCCCTTAGCATGAGAGTGCACACTTATAATAGCCTCATTCAGTTTACCGAGGGTGGTGGCAGGAATTTAAAACTGGCAACAACAACAGAGAAATCACAAATCGGCATGAAATGAAATACCCTCTCTGACAGCTACATAAACCTGACATACTGTGGCTAATAGAAAAGTGTCACATGGCCTTCCCTTCTCCCCGCGGTGATGATAGTCATGTCCTGAATTGCCATCCTGATTGCCTTGATCTTTAACAAGAAAACATCTGGTTCCCTTTTATCTCAAACCCGTGCGAGGAGAGGCAGAAACCATAAGAAAGCCCAAGATCAAACATTCAAAGCACTCCAAGCACCTTTTTGCTTCCACTTCAGTTATGTGAGAAGGTGAAATTGCCAAGCCGCATTTAGGTATGTTTAGAGAAATAATGAGTCCGAGATAAGGGACGACATTGGCAACGAGAACACATTTGATATCTTTGTACTAGGAAGAGCAACAAAACTCCCCGCTCTCAGGATCCGTGGTTGGCAGCGAAGGAAGGCCACCAAGGGAGACTACAACAATATTTGACAGTACCGCTCCCATCTTCTCTTTGGCTCCAGAGTCACCATGACATATGTTACCTTTGGCAGGGTGCTGATCCCTGCAGGGAAGATGGTATGGTGGTAGGGTGGGGAACCAGGACTAATACCCCAAGCTGCTGGAAGACAGGCAGGGAGGGAATTCTGTGATCAACTACACATTAAACAGAAAAAAAGAAAAAGAAAAAAACTGGTGTTTCTTTGGCTGAGAACACAGACAAATTTTGCAAGTGTCGGATTTCATTATAAAACATGAAATAAAGCACTAGGTCCTAAAACTTCCCCCAGGTCCTTTCCTGTAGTCATTTTCAATTTCTAGAGGATTTCCCAAAAAAATAGACTGGGAAATAATGAGAAGGGCAAGTCAGCACACTGAATTTATGGAGTGAAAACCAACCTCATCACAGAAGGTAAAGCTCCCAGGCAGAGGTAACTGCAAGGGTAACTGCAATCCCTCACAAGAGCACAGTATTTTGAGTTAGGAGACCTCTCAGATGATTACCTTAAACTAACTGCCATTCAGTATGTGGGGCTGACAGTAAAAGGGGTGGGATTGATGACCATTTGGCACGCGATGGTGTACACTACAGAGTCCACTTCCCGGAGATTTGTTAAACAAATGTATATTAGGAGAGGATAATCTTCTACTCAACAAAACTTACTAGTCTCTTGTAGAGTAATTAGGTCCATTTGCTCTTCTGTTGCTGTGATAAACCACTGAACAAAACCAACTTAGGGTGGAAAAGTGTTATTTCAGTTGTATTTCCAGATAGCAGTCTATCACTGAACGAAATCAGTGCAGAAACTCAGAGCAGGAACCTAGAGGCAGGAACTGAAGCAGAAACCACAGAGGAGTGCAGCTCACTGGCTCACTCTTTCTGCCTCATGCTTCACTAGCTTTATTATATAACTCAGAACCACCTGCCCAGGATAGCACCACCTATAGTAGGCTGTGTCCTCCCATATCAATCAGCAATGAGGTAATTCCCCACAGACATGACCACCCACCAATCAGATCTGGGCAATCTCTCAGGTGAGACTCCCTCAGGGTGATTCTTGATTGTATCAATCTGGCAAGCAAAACTAACCAGGACAGTAATATGTGTGTGGTTCTGGGTATCAAGCAGAGGAGCTCACTCATGCTAGACAAGTGTTCTGCCAATGAGCTACATTCCCAGCCCCTGCTCCCCATAATATAAACTTGCTGTCACAAGGAAGAACCCTCTCACCAAAGCAGAAGCTGTGGTTTCTACCATCTACTAATATAAATTCTACCTGCCTAAGAAATACCAGGTTTCATCTGAAGCTATCTCATATCACAGCATAAATGCTGTACCATTAGGCAGGACTTATAGGCTCTTTAGTGACATTGTCCTCGAAGCCCCATGGCATCTCACTCATCTCTTACTGTCACTAGTCCTTATTGAGCCTGTGATGTTTCCCTGAACATGCCATATACTCATGCTCAATTTCCTGGCCTCTTGCTGAATTGCCATATTTATCAGGATCATGACTCATGTCTAATGCAAACAGTAGCTCCTACTTTCTGATCCTGACTCTTCACCTCTCTTCCAACTATGATTATACTGTTATACTTGTTTTACATGTTTTCCTTCAAGCTATGCATTTTTCCAATCTCACCTCATTGGCTTTTGCACAAAACAAGTACTCAAGTAAATTAAGTAATAGGTGAAGGATAAATGGAACTGGAGAATACATAAAACCTGCAGGCAAAATCAAGAGATGGTATACACTCAGTACATTAACACATCCATAAATATTTCAACAGAGACAAAGCATAGACCAGACATGTTCTCTAGCACTGGTGATTCTGATACCATGTGTCGCGATGGGTTGTATAAATGTCTCTACCTATTTAGCTCTGAAATAGTGAACATAAATCTGAGATTAACTTCAGATTACTATCTATGTAAACAGACATTTAGCTTAAGATTTCTCACTTTCTTCTATAACATGGGGATAAAAAAATACTCCATATATTTATGTGGACTCTACACATATTGTATAAAAAGCCTACCAAATTGTGTGTTACAAAATTGTTGCCCAATTAAGAGTAACTACCATCAAATGAAAGGTTCTGTTAAAAATGTACATCAGTAGAACAGCTGTCAGTCACCTAGTGCATTGCCCAACATATGAGAAGCACTGTTTCTGTCATTGATTTCATCATCATTATTATTGGAATCTACAATGATGTGGCAGTTGTTTGTATAAATATGGATAAAACATTGCAATGGGAAGTCGGAAGTGCCCAGGAAGCTAGGTATTTGATATATAGGCACTCAAATACGAAGAGCTAGGGATCTAGAGGACTTCCCACAATAACCACACACATGATTACTCAAGAAAGTCGAAAGACTCTAAGCAATTACCTATCAATTCAAGAGTCTCAGGGTTTTCAAGTCTCTGTAACAAAATACCATGAACTAGGTCTTATGTCAGTTGGCTGCAGAGAAAGCCTCAGAGCAGTCATTGTGGGAATAAGTATATCAAGGCTACCAGGAAGATAATTTCCAATCACAAATTCTGGAAAGAGCAGTAACAAGGTAAAGCACAAGACACCAGTGGGTTTTAAACTATTTTCAGGGTCCCAGACACTGTGTTAAAACTGATTTAAATCATTAATCCACTATCTCCATAAAATATTTAGAAATTTGAGGGTAGTCTCTGTAGTATTCTGCCCTAGGCATGCTGCAGTACCCTTCCTTACCCATTACCCTCACAGTTCCTCTCCTGGGATATTAAGATAGCCTCTAACTAGGCTCTGCATTTTGAGTTACAGTGCTTTTGTGGTGATATATATAAAACAGATGTACATAAATCCTTAATAGGTTTTCTACCATCTAGAAATACACCTGCCTGTGGCTTCCTGGGTCCACCATGCTGTTGTTCATACACTGGAGACAGATGGATTTCTCTTCCTGATTAAAATCTTCCTAATAATATCCCCTTTGTCATGTTCCCCTCAGACTGGAAAGTCTGTCTCCTGGTTGTCCCTTGGGCTAATTCTTGGTCTGAACTCATTTTCTCTAGCTAGCCTCCCCAACTTATGTTTCATGACGGTTCGT